AAAAAAAAAGTAATTTACTGTCAAAGCTGACATCAAAGTTCTTTAGCTGTCACTGACACACAAGTTAGCAAACCTCGGATAACTTAAACTAACAGCCCAGTCTTACGGCAATTCATGAAATAGTCACAAAACTTCATCTAGCCCAATTTCTTTGTGTCCTCCACTACGAATTTCAAACCAATACATTTCAATTGGACTTATCTTTCGTGCCTGTGCCATGTTTTTTCCCCCCCCTATCAGACAGTGCATATGCTGAGATGTTTATGTCATTCTTTTCTTCCGACAGACAGGCATGAACCAACTTTACTGTTATGGCCCGTCCACACTAATAACTATAGAGATCCCTATGAAGATGTATGCACCCACACTGACCAACGTCGACATTCTGTAAACACCGGCGCTGAACAGCTACCATGTGCTTCAGCTGCATATAAGCTCCATATTCATTCAAATAGAAAAGGCAAAATATATCCAGGCAGAGAGAAGCTGTTCTGAAAGTGATCCCAACGATGTCGTTAATAGCTATTATCGTTTATTTGTGATAAACTATATGTGCTTTTACTCTGTTTGGGCTACGTGCTCGTCGTTACTTTCATTTCTCTGTAAACAAATACAGCTCTGAAAAGAAGGACACACAGCGACCGGAAGATCGCAGCGATGGTTAATCTGACTATTATATATTATTATATCTGACTCCATTGAGGTGGTGGGAGAGAGGAGGGCACTGGCCAAACTGTCTGCCATCATAGGAAACACCTCCCACCCTCTGCATCAGACTGTGAACTCCTTAGGCAGTGCATTCAGCGACAGACTGTTACACCCAAAGTGTAAGAAGGAATGTTTCTGCAGGTCCTTCATCCCAACAACAGTCAGATATTAAAACGCTGCACTACAAACTCCACTGGTACCTCTGTTACTGCTGCACTTTTTCTTTTTTCCACCAACAAACACTTTCCACTATGTGCTATAACCATTACTACCTCATCTTTGTGTATATAGTCTTCTTTTAAAAAAAAAACAAAACAAAACAAAACATCTTCTGTATATAATGTTATTTTTCCTCTTGCAATTTTTGCACTGTGTGTTTTTTTTTTTGTCTGTTTTTCTGTTTTCTGTTTCTGTTTCTTTCCTACAATTTGCACTGCGTGTTCCCAATTATTCTTGCACTGACTGTACACTTTTTTTGGAGCTGTTGTAATGGTGAACTTTCCCCACTGTGGGATCAATAAAGTTTATCTTTATCTTTATCTTATCTTTATTGTAGCTGAGAGGCCAGCGGTGGGGGACATAGATATATTTAATAAAGGCCTTCATTAAACACCTTTATTATACATATCTGTGGTGGGGAATGTATCTGTAGCTTTGTGAAGCATTTAGCCAGCTCGTCAAGGCTAACAGGGTTGGCTTAGCAACGAGCGCAAATTTCCCCCAAACACTTCCGGTGCAATAAAACACAAAAATTACCACAATACCATGTACTTTTTTACATTTATTTCATACTACGCGTATTATACTTTAACAGTAGCAGATTTGTCAGTATATCAATTCGTTTGTTTTAGTTTATTAGTACAAAAACACAAACCTAGTTGTAAACCCCAAGAAAAACAACATATTTCATGGCGTGTCCAATCATGTTGTATTGTAACGCTACTGGAGGTTGTAGTTCTTTCTTCAAAATAGCTGTTTTTCCTAAATGGAGGTTGAAATATAAAACTTTAAGTGTATTTAGGGGTTTAAATTGATGAAGAACACGTTTGTTTGGACTGAATTTTCAAATGAAATTGATATATATAGGTGAAATAAAATTTTTACATTTTGTGATGCCCCCTGCTGGTGAAAACATCAAACCACAGCCTAAACGATAGAAATCAAGAGCTTTGTATAACAGTTGGTCCCATGATTCTAGCCCCTTTCATTGTCGAATTAGAAGCTTTAAAAGATGCACCAAAGTCAAAGTTCAAAGGTCAATATCTCTGAGCAAGAGCAACTTCTAATTTCCAGACTGACATAATTTTACTCCCCTGATCAGGTCCTTTCCAATGATGTAGCATGTTTAGTCCTATGACAAAGTAATACTTAATCTTTGGGATATTGTAAAGAGAAAGCTAGAGCAGCGCAACCTTGTTATAGGAATGCTATTGTTCATGCTTTAGAGTACTGACTTTGTCATCAAAAATAAAGGTGGACACAGGAAGTACTGAAAAATAAAAGATTTCACTGTGGGACCAGGATTTTCACTGTAGTGAAGCTATTCTGTTTTTTTTGTTTGTTTGTTTTAAATTTAACATAAGAGCAAATATCATGCTGCTCAACTTGATCTAATTTTGAATCATGTGACATTTAAGTGATAATGCACAGTGATGTGTTGTTTTTTCCCGACCATATTTTCCAATGCAAGACAGAGAGACAGTACTCAGGTATTGCATTACAGTTTATTGTTGTAGTCATCATTTGTTGCACTCTCTGCAGGGAGGTACAGCTTGAAGGTAATACAGATTGAAGGTACAAGCTACACTGTAGTACATGCATGATGCTGTCTGTCACACTGTGAGGTTTCCTCCCACTCCTCCCCTCCACTATGACCTGAACACGCTGTACTGGGAACGTTTCCCTCTCAGAGACACACTTTTACAGCGGTCTTGCTGTCATCGTCAAGGCAACACACACCTGATCTACAAACAAACCAGTAGAAACAAAGTATGTACAGTAACAGTAGATGACTGCTCAACGTATGAGAATGATAATAAAAGGCAACTTTTAAGGCAGAAATATGTCGGGAGGAAGATGAGGAATGTGATGAAGAACAAAATAAACATCCAGGCCACAGTGCAGGTATTAATTCCTGCCGGTGACACTCTGAATGACAAAGGGGAAAAAATAAAGGCAACATATTAAGACTTGCTTTATGTGTTAAAAAGCAGGACAGTATGTTATCATTTTTTGCTGCCTATACAGTGAACTGGGATTCATTATCTGTACATGAGGCATTTATTAAGAGTCATAATTACACAACACAAACACAAGTTGAAAAGTTAACGTAAAGAAAAGTGAAGGAGTTAATATAGGCTATATATTTATCAGTGTAAAGGTATTTTTTTTAATACACACATTTTTCATGTAAATTATTAAAAGGCAAGTCTGGGAAATCCTACACACGGTACTGTAGGTAATAATGTTTTTATTCCTGCTGTGCACACGAGTAAATAACAATTAAGCAATGTGCTTTAAAGGCCCTAAAACTAAATTTTCTCCACCACCCTCTAACTACAAGTAATCTGCTTCTGCAAGAACTCTTGTTAAACAGCATTGGTCACACGAGAGATGTTTTGCTTGTGCTCTTGGGAGATTTGCTCATAGAAGCACTGCATTGATTGTACACATGAACTCTTCACAACCTCTGGAAACAGTAATATCATCAAATCTGTCTAAGATTGGAACTCAGATGAGTTTATAACAGAAAACTGTTAGACCATGCACATTTACCAGTCAGGGTTGGTATAACTTAAGATAGTTACACTTTCTGGGGCAACCTAAAGAACAGTATGTCAGCCTTAGTGGTGTCAATTCTTACCATTACAAAAAAGAAAAAAAAACTTTTAAAAGTGCAATATTAAATCACTGGAGCAGCAAACTGCCGTCAGTCAAACCTGATCAAACACCCACACAGTTGTGATGAAGCAAATTAACTACGTTTATGAGCGTTAAACACATAAGAATTTTTCTTAATGACTTTGTGAAGAGAGGGTTTAATGAGTAGGGGTTGGCTAACTTTGCTGTAAGATCACTTCAAATGTCCATCGGGTGAAAAAACTTTTTCTTGGGTCACGAGTAAGAAGTTATCATTTGGCACTATCATTTGGTGATTTTTCTCTTTGTGTGCAGGAAAAACAAACATGGAGAGTGTTCCTCATGAAAAACATAAGCATGCTTTGATGAGTGGTGACAGTAGCAGAGAGGAGGGAAAGTCTCTCCGAGCATCATCAGCAGAAATCCAAATGAAAAAGAGCGAGTGGCATTTTATCGAACAATCATTTACTGTACACACATGTAAAAAACTAAATTATAACCCATACAAAACGTACAGTTTAATATTCTGTATTTTCACTCTCAGTTTACAACATGATCTCTCTTCTGCATTGTGCTTTGAGTTGAATGTGAGTTGGGGAGGACCACACTGCCAAGCTATCAGAGGGGAAAGAGGGAAGGGAGGTCGGTCCACTTTGACTTTCCACTTTTCTTTCCAGTCAAATGTCTGTGGCCAGAGGTTAAAGGATTTTCATTTATTCTTCGATGATATTGTAAAACAGCAAAAAGACTGGCAGATCTACAGTACGCTGTTGTCTGGAGGAGCTGTACACGATGATCAAGACACAGCAACAAAAACCACACTGTCCACCACCAGCCATTCTGACAGTTTTCTCTCTCAAGTATTCACAGACACTAAGACCAAACCCAGTGCTAAGTTTTTAGAATTGTGCCATTGTAGCTGGAAGCAGCCAGACAGAGAGATACAGAGTTTCAGATTTCGTTGATTGTTCGTTCGGACGGCCGGTAGTCCTCCCTTCCTTTCGGGGAGGACAGGTAGAAGGACTGCGTCTTGCGTTTTAAGCGAGCCCTCTTGGTGGCCAGTGACAGGCTGTGCTTGCTGGAGGCGATTATGTCGGAGATGAACCTCTTGCAGTCCACACACACTTCCATGGTGGCCCAGTCCTCTGTCAGCTCAGGGGGAAGCTCCAGCTCTTCGTGAGACTTTAGAGAGCCGTGCTTCGAAAACCTACATGGACAAGAAACAAGGAAGCTGAGCTTAAACGAGATCCTGATATTGTGTTTATATATTGACAGTTTACATTACTGTTGTAATTTCTATATTTGTGATCATGACCATGGGTTATGTAAAAGGTCTGTTCACTCAGACTGCAAAGACTCAAAATCCAATTGTCTTTCATTATGTGAAAGTTCAACAGTGACTGTGTTAAGAATACTTTGTGGTTTCAGGGAGTTACACATGCTGCAGGTGTGAAAGTATGACTTCATACATAACTAAAACGGAGTGGATGAAAGCCCACACCATTTCCTAATTTTCCTGTTGCTTATTTGACATAGAGATAGATGCGTCTTTGATAAATGGAAAATCAATGTATACAACAATTAGTTGATGACTTGCTAGTCTGGTAGTGCTATTTTTATCCACTAGATGTCAGTGGCTGACAGTCCAAAGAAACAAACTGGACTTATGTGGTCAAAGACCAGAGGCTGCACCCAAGCAGCAACCACAGAGACTGAGGCCTTTGCTTTGTGCTGTGTGTATGTTTCAGTGTTGCAGTTTATGAAGAGGGGCACATGCTGTGTGTGTGTGTGTGTGTGTGTGTGTGTGCGTGTGTGTGTGTGTGTGTGTGTGTGTGTTTAATACTGCAGCATTTGGGGGAAATTATATTTGATGTTTGCGCTTTTATTTAATATCTAAAGTTTCTTCATATTTAATGAAAATGAGAACAAACACACAGCCCTGACAGAGTGGATAATGTTGTTTGTTGCTCTTACTTGGACATGGTCTTCTGGATACTGTGGCGCTGTGGGCTACTGGAGGATTTATCTGATTTAGCAGCTGCTGCCCCTGCTGCTGCTGCTGCTGCTCCAGAAGCTTTAGCAGCTCCTCTAGATGCTGCTTTTGTCGCTCCTTTCAAAGTGGGGGGCGCAACGGCCCCTTCCACTGCTGACGGCCCCGGCCCTTCAGCCACAGAGAGTCCTTGTCCCACAGCAGCCATGGCAGTTATTCTCTCCCTGGGGAGAGTGTTAGTCGAGCCAATGGAGTAGATGGGCAAACTGGAATAAGGTTTGGAGGGAAGCCGCATCTGTTAGAGATGGAAGGCACAAATGTTACACTGAGGAACAATATTGAGGAAAATGATGTTATTATGACAACTTCTGCTCTTACATAATAAATAACTCACGAGCCATCATTGCTGGAGTTTTGGGTGCCATTTTAAATATAAGGATATCAAATCTTTGAGTAATCTGGAAACAGTAATGATGCTAAACAGGAAACATATCTTTGGACAGTATAGTGTCCTCAGGTTCAATTTGGTTGAGGCTTGACTCAGAGAAATTCCCTAGAAGTTATTGACCACGATTCACTACTGCAGTTTTCTTACTATATTTCTTGCCTCCAAAAAGTGTGGCTAGGTTCTTTGAATGCGACCACATCAGAACAAATATAAAGCCAGCTGACTGGAGGGTCTGTCTTCCACAACTTACCTTTTTGCAGCACTGGGAGCACACAGGCCTGCAAACAGAAGATTGAGAGATGAGTGAAAGCAGTTACTCTTCTTTAAATGCACAGTAGTATTTAATGCAAAAGATGACGGATGATCTTTAGAGATGTTTTACTTTTTGCAGAACTGGCAGATGTAGGACCAAGTGAAAAAGGAAAACCTTTTGGTTCGACAACAGAAGCAAAGCTGTAACAAAAACAAAAAGACATCAGAATAAAAATTAGCTGCAAACACAGGCAGGCATCAAAAATCCTCAGGAAAAATATATATTTGCTCTTTCCCTCATGGTGTAGTGAAGAAAGATTCAGCCTTACTTGTTCATAAACAGTGTTTTATACTGTCCATGATACAAGTGATGTGTGGAGAGAAGAAAACGTTACCTTTCCCTTCTTCATAGCGGTGTAGACGTCTTTGTACTGCTGGAACTTCTCCAGCTCGGCCTTCACCAGCACCTGTCTGATGTGCATCACCTCCTCCACCGTCAGAGAAAGACACTCCACAGGGAAACAGAACTCCTCCTGCCATAACAAACACACACGCACACATGCACACACACATACAGCAGTGAGTGACGGTGGCAGGTTCAACACACAGCGTCTCATTCAGTGCACAGACAGGCTCCCTTTGCACCTTTCAGAGCAGCGTGAGTGGGTCCAGGCCACATCATGTAACTGTCCTCATTGTTCAGTGAAGAAACCGGCAGATCAGAGAGAGCTCATGATGTGGAAACAATCGGAGCGAACACTTAAATCCTGCAGCCGTGCAGGGCGGCAGATTGCCTCGCAAACTGTTTCATGAATGCCTTGAAAAACAGCTGCGTTATTAACTCTTGTTTTTCAAATGTATTTTATATTTCTGTAACAATTTACATTCATGTGTACCACCTCACAATGTTGCTGATGTCTCATGAGGTACATGATCTTACATAGGCATGAAACAAATGCTGCCTAACAATGTTAAAGGAAACTCGCAGTACAGAAGAGACAAAACAATTAAAGTCAAATGGTCCAAAATTTTGTCTTATTTTTTTTTCAAAATATCCCTGAGCATGTGAAGAATTTGTTTTAAAGACATGCATTTAACACACAGTGAAGGGCCACTGAAAAGATGCAGCTGGGTGGAATATGGGAAATGTAGGTTTGTATTTTGGGTGCTTGCTGCTCTGCTATGAGGCTGATGTCAGACCCTTTCTCAGGCTGGTAAGACCACAACCATGAAAAAACTCAACACTACTTTAAAGTTTGTTACATAACATTTGATTTTTTTTTGTAAATGCATCCTGCCTGCTCTTCATATCTCACTTTTTGTATCAGGTGTGGGAGGTGGACACCAGAATGGAGATGCTGCTTTTCTGCCTTTCAGAAGGCTGCTCAGCTCACCACAGGCCATGCCTCCTCAGTTGAAGTGAGTTATGTTTGACACATTTAATAGCAGTTAAAGAACAGTGGTTGTGATGTTTCTGTGATGTTCTGAAGTGTTTTTAAAACAATTTTTGAATGACTGCAACCTATGGGCATCCCAAGATCATGAGCCAGGCTGAGGAATATGCCAAGAGCCAGACAGAGCAGCAGCAGGAGGCTCCCAGCTCCAAAGTGCTCAGCCCACAGGAAACGGTGATAGATTCCAAAAATTTTACAGGGCTTTTGGATGACTGCTCTGGGCACCTCCTTCAACATGTCCTCCCAGCGGCTCAGTGAAATGGCTGCTGGGGTAACAAAAGCAGTTCAGGAGGGGTCTCTGCTGCTTTGTCAGGTCACCTTCTCCCGCTCTATCAGAGACCACATGGTTCTGTGTATTCAGGAAAAGGTTGGACAGAGATACCCTGAAGATGTGCTGATTGAGAGACTCAACAGCTTTGCAGCAGACATGCTGAATGCTATTCCTGGATTTGCAAGAGAGGCCATGATGAGGTCTGGGGTAGGATCCAAGGTGACTGCTGTTTCCTACCTGAGCACAATAAGGATGGACCAAGGCTCTGTCTTAGTTAGATTTTTGCTTTGGTCATTTTTTCATGTTACTCATCATATTAACAAATTAATTGTTCCAGTCGGTCTGTATGAGTTTCACTTATTGTACGTGGAACATAAATAAAGACATAATTTAGTTTAACTATGGTTACAGTACCATATCAGTTTGTTCCTCAAAAGGTGTGACTTGTAATTTATCCTGTTGTCAGAAAGGTATAAAAACGTGATTACGAAACATAAAATTATCAGTTATGCACGTAAAGTCAGCCAAAAAATTATATAAAATAAAAGAAATGGGTGGACATATGGATATTTAAGAGTTTCACAAGTATGATAAAGATAAAGTCGCGATATGATTATGTTCACATTGTGTTTTTGTGTGTTAACTTAACTTAAAATTACATGTCTTTGCCATTCCTGTACTTCAATTTCTGAGTCATTTAAAAGTCAACAGATACACTGTTCGTCTAATTTATCAGTTTTGCTCGAAATAAACATCCTGGAAATATAAGAAATGAGCTCTAGGTTGTAGACAAATGGTTTATTGAAAATAAAAGACAATAAAAAAAAAAAACATTTACAGTAAAATCATGCAAACAGAAGACAAAAGAACGTTAGGAAGCAGACAGTAAACAAGCAGGCCTTTTACAGTTGTGCATCATGAGTCACTTGCTGACTGCTGTAGTGCGAGTTAATGCCTTGTGATTCCTGCTGATCTTATGACTCTTGACAGCTACAGAACGCTGCTTTGTGACCAGACGCAAGGAGGAGAAACATCAGACAACTTCTAACTGAATTTTCTGTCTTTAAAACCATGTAAACAAAATATCCTAAATAGCATTTTGAATTTATAAAAACCATAGAACAAGAAATAGAGGTCTGGTGTTCCCTAATTCTATTTTCTGTCATTTTCTGTCCATCCAGCTCAATAAAGGCATCAAAAATCCATGAAAAAAAAATGTTCATGGAGGTCAAATTAAAACAAATCAGACAGTAAATTCAAATAAATAATATTAAATGCATGCAAGTATGAATTAACAAGCTATTTGTGCCACACAAGAGCAGGTTAAAATGGAGTTTAGCCATAGCTACCTACTTGTGTCTGAGTGTTAAAATGTTATCTACAGCAATGAAATGAATGATGCGAGTCACTAGTTAATGCCATATTTGTCCTCAGTCTATCATGGCAGCAGCCTGCCCTAAACAAATGACCTCGAGTGAAGTCGGAAGCACTAAGACAAGGCGGGCAGCTACAGTTATTAAGCCAGGATGGACCGAGCGAGACTGGCAAACCTTGGCTGACTCTCTCCGTCTCAAGTACATGCCTCTGCACAGAGCAAAGAGCGCCTTCATCAACCCCAACACAAACGCCTCGATAGGGTGGGAGCTCCGCAAAGGGTTGAGAGTGGAGGCAGAGGGGCGGAGGAGGAAGAAGGGAATCCAGGAGTGAAATATGGCTATCACCCCAACCTGAATGAGAGAAGGTGGAGGTGTGTGTGCGAGAGAGCAAGAACAGAAACTCTGACAGAGATAACGTGAGCATCCTAAATAGATTTGTGATAGAAAAAAGAAGGAAGATATCCAGGGAAAGAGGCATGTAATGCAAACAAAAGGATAAGTGTGTGTTTAGCATCAATCCTTCCTCGCAGCCTTTTCTGTACAGATCCTGCTCTTCATATCTCCCCACGTTCTCCAGTTTTCCTTCAGCTTCTCTGTACTATTAAGTTACTGGACCAGGTGTGAGTTCAAACTTTCCAAGGCTACACTGCCCACGGAAAGCCAACGCAGCAAGGAAAAACAGTGACGCATGAGATTTTTCAGATTACAGTCCAAACTTCAAATGCTTTTCCTGGTACATTTCATGGTGCTTAAGGATGCATGAAAATCTCACTCACCAGAGACTTGGAGTTCTGTTTGGATGGTGGTTGAAAAAGTCGGACGTTGGTCGGTGTTTCTTTCTCGATGGAGTGTCTCCTCTGGGGTGTCTGACGCCTCTCTGGCTGAGGTGTAGAAGAGATCGGCAGGAACATGGGTGGAGCTGGTGTTCAAAGATGGAGGACAAAAGAGAATGAAGGAGGCAGCTTAGACAGAAAGAACCCATTGATTTGTTAATTTACGGCTCAAGAACTAATGATCATCAACAGTCACTAAAAGGAAAAAAGTCAGTAGAAACATTGCTGGTGAGGCTGTAAGATTAAAACTCATCGATCACTGTCAGTCAGAGGTTTAGTTGTGGCAGAGGTGTAGAAATATCTCCTGACTCACTTTTCTTCCCCAGCACAGACTCTGGGGATGTATCATCCATCAAAGATGTCGCCACACTGGAGCTGCTGGCTGATTTGCGCCCAACAATCTCATCCTGCATGTACGGAATATACAAGCACATCAGTCACTATTCGCTGTGCAGGTGCCACATACAATTACGAAAAAAACAATTCAAACATTCAGACACACACTTACATCAGAGTCGGAGCTGTCCAGCTCTGCCAGGCTGGGAGCCTTCAGAAGTCTCTTCCTCTGAGGTACCGACTGAGATCCGGATGGTTCCACTCTGGGAGATGCCGACCCGTTGATCAGAGACAGAGTACTGGACGCCCTCCTGCCCATGTACGGACTAAACTCATCTGCACAGAGCCGCATATGAGGTGGTCATTCAGACATAGGGAGGAAAACATTTGAGATGGATCCCAAAACACTTCCTCTTGTAATTCCTTGCATCCTTACTGGTTTATATATACATATTTATTTTTTAATCTTTCTTTATAATCTCAAACAGACATGTGGAAATCACAAGGGAAGGTAAAGTGAAAGGATGCAATGCATTATGTGGCAGAGGACACAGATTTGAGATCCATCTGAAGGTGAAAGAGGTCAGGAAGGGTGAGTTGATTTGGTCTGAGGGAAGGTAGAGGAGCAGGCCAGTGTTACACGCACATTATGGATGACTCTTTCATGAAATATTTAACTCTGAACTGCTAAAAAAAAAAAAAAAGCTTCTCTCTCCTGTGAGTATATTTTGGGGGTAAAGCTAAGTCCTTGAAACCAAATGCCCCATTTTACTAAAAAGGTAACTCTGTAGTGACACAAGTCCAAAGATGATACTAACTATGATAACCAGCCACATAATAAACTGCCTGATTTCAGCTGTAACTTCTGGGAAGGAAGGAATGGGTAGAGCAAAAAGACAACCTGAAAAGAGGGTTTTGAGGGAGGGAGGGAATGTGAGAAGAGGGAAGAAGCAAGTCCTGCAAGAGACACAGCTGATAGGATCTATGAGAATCCTGAAACTTCTCTCTATTCTCCTTTCAGTCTTGTCTCTTGTCTGTGGGAAAAACATCCTCATGAGCTCATCGTCTCAACAGGAGCTCTGTCCCTACTGCTGAAACAGAACTAATTGAGATTCCTAAGAGCCTACATCACCAGGCTTTCCATTTCACCATTCAGAAATCGCTCTGGCCTCGTTTTACCCAGGTCAGGTATTCAACTAGAGGAGATATTAGTTTACAGCCAGGGAGGGAGACAGACAAGGCCGTTAGGTTAAAGGCATCAAGGCCTTCCAGTCCACAGCATGGCTCATACGTTACCTGTTCCCGTACGGAACAAATCCTGTGGCATACTGCGAGTTTTGCCAAAACCTAAAAGGGGACACTTCCTTCATTAGGATGGCTACAAGTAGATTTCACTACTTTATATGCGTGCAGTTTTTTTTTTCCAAGTAATCAGAGTGTATGATGGCAGCAAACACATTACTGTGTGACTGAATAATTTAATGATATTCTCTTTCTTAATGAACCCATCCTCCTTGAACCTGTTGTTTTTGGTTTTTTTTTTTACATTTTTCACGATTTGGTCTCAAGAGATTGCCTTTAAATATAAAATAGGTGGTTGCTTGAGCATATAAATAGCTTGGAAGTGTGATCTTACACTGATTGCAGCCACACAGCTCTATGAAAATGTTACTTGTTGCTGCACTGCATTGTGTTGCTGGTAAAAAAAGGTCTTTCTTCTGGATTAACCTGATAAACAATATTCAGATTTTATATTATTTTTCAAGTAACAGTTTTACAGTAGGAATATTTGTTGGAAAATGTTCTTATCCATTTTCTCAAGGATTAGACGAGAAGATCGATACTGCTGAAGTTTGTCAAGTTTGAAACTTGATCCAGGAAGTGATTAGCTTAGCTCAGTATAAAGATTAAAAACTGATTAAAACAGCTAGCAGTATTTCATGCAAATTTTAAAAATCCACCAACCAATACTTCTAAAGCTGCATAATTTTTTTTGGAAACAACAGCTAGGAGCAGTGATGTTCTGGAGTCTTGTTATCACCTTGAGATTGCCAAGAAAACAAGTCACCTCACCCACTTCTGTTTTGGTGTGAATTAAACAAACATTTTTCAGCTATTTCAAGTTTTGTCGATCCACCTAATGATTGTAGCTTCAAAATTAATGCACAGACTGAGTGGTCTCATCTAATTCTTAGCAAAAAAGGGAATGAGCCAAAAAACTATTTTTTGAAAACATCAGGTTTCGTTGCAATTTAGTCAAAGTCAAAGATCAATGACGTCTTTGCAGGAGTAATATTTTGCCTTTCAATTGATGAAGTTTGGCAAATGTACAAACAGGACATCCAACTATTTCAATTACATGGCAAAATGGTACCAGATGTACATGAAACGTTGCCAAAACTTATGTGACAACATTGTTTCAATCTTCTAAAATGTATTTCTCCTTGATGCAGGATTTTGTGGTTGCTGATTAAAATCTTAGCTTTAATTTTTTGAAGTATTAGTGAAAATGTACTATCTCCACATAAAGTACAAACCAAATAAACTGCTCACATCATATGGGAATGATCCATTACAGAGGGAAGTTCGTACACACACATACATACAAATTATCGTACAGCATGAATGAAAGGAGTAAAGCTTGTGGTGTGATGAGAGACACTGGCTTCAGTCGGAGGGATAGCGGAGCATGGCATTACTCTGATTGGCCTGCCTCGCAGCATTTCCACATCACCTCAGCAAAAAACATATATATATATTTTTTTAATGCTAGCCACATGCTAGAGATGGTAGAATAGGATGTAGCTCATAGTGATAGACTCTACGCTTCACTGTGCTGTGCAGAGCGTGAGGCTGCACACCGATCTACCTGCACCCTGATTCAATTCTGCAAAGTCATTGTGGAACATGAAAGACTCTTTTGTGTGGAGCTGATGACTCCTGGCAGCACCGAGGTGGCAGTCACTGTTTCGGCAGCTTCTGTTCGTCACTTGATTAGATGGCTGGCACCACACGTCTGCCTAAAGATTCACAGTACAGGAGTGTATTTAAGAGATTACATGCTCAGCAAAGGTGACACTTTTCTTAAGTGTTTTAAGATCAGAAGCAACAGCAAGAAGCCTTTTTGTTACATAAGTTAGAAAATATATAAGATTGGTTATATGAACTGTTTAAGGACTGTAGTTGTACCAACAGTCAGTAGGAAAAGAAATAAAGATTAAAATTTCACTGAGGCAAAAATTCTGTAATGTTGCAACACCTCCTTCAGAATGAGATGTAAAACTGCACTCAACAGTAAACAAAATGGAAAAGCGACATAGTCCAGAACATTCAGCTGGATAATGTTACAACATTTAAACTGTTACTGGCCATTACTTCAGCATCTAAACACTTCAAGAGCAGTAAAACCATTTAATGTCTGAACCTGCCTACGATCTGTTCCAACAAGTCACAAAGAGCTGAGTTTAATATTTCCTTTCAGCACAGCCAGATGCTAATGGGAAGTCAGGATTCCCTCTTTTGACAAAAACTTCAGGCAGTGAATAGAGGACACCATCGAACCATATTCATGCTTCAATAAAAATAATCGTTAGCTTGGTTTCTGTTGGTCTGTAAAATAAAAAATGAAAAATAGTTTTTATTTTGTCAAAGAAGACGTCAACAGTGATGCATTTTTATAGAAAAGGGTCAACGCCTTGCCTACTGTAACAAGATTAAACAGCTTCTTTGAAGTTATATTTGGCATTTAAGGATAGCTTTACATACAAATTGCCTTCCTGTGGCAATTTTATGTACGTAATGGTCCACAAAACACAGTCTGAGCTTACATTTTAGGCAAAGGAAAGGAGACTTCAAGAGGGATTTTTGTACATTCATTTGTCACGAACAGTGTTGAAGCTTTAGACAGAAGGGACTGTGGAGCCGCCTGCTCTTACATCAAAATTGGACTTCCTTGTAGTCAGAATTGACAGGAGGAACAACTCTAGCAACTTTTTCGGTGTACACAGAAGTTAAGTCAGAATTTACTTAACTGCACAAGAATCTGCACAAAACAATGAATGTGAAAATGACAGGCGTAAAGCTCAGACTTCAGCCTGCAGGTTTTCAGACAGTTAATTAAACAGGCTTTGTTTTTTGGATTTGAAGCTGTTTCTGATTGTTTTTTGTAATATATTTACATGTCTACTTGAGTTGAATCTGTTAAAAATGACCAAAGTAAAGTAAATGAGGCTAAACCTAAAAAAATTCATTGAACAATTTTAAGACAGACAGTGTCACACTTAGTTCACGCCATGTGACTGCAGCTTGTTTTTAAAGGCCACAGCACAAGATGCTTTTACCGAAACTATAAACTTTCCAACATTGGAGGAAGATCATAATCGGCAAGCATAAACAGTTTAAACACGATATAAAGTTATTAACATTTTGGCAGATTCATTTGGAGTCATGTTTCTGACCATCTGACGTCTAAAAGTCATAATAATCACTCTGTGTTTGCTTGTTTTTTAAGCTTCTGTGAGAAACGTCTGACCTTTAGCTGCTAAGTAATTCATCATGTTCACTAGATAGCCACTAAAGTTGTCTGCTGGTGCTGGGAGGGTAGCGTAATGTGGTTTATTAGAGTTTTGTCACGGCAAGTAGCTGCCCGCTGCTGCTGGAAACAACACTGATGCTAGAATCCAAAACAAATGAGCTCACAATTCTTCATGTGTTTGTTACTACACGTGACAATTTTTGTACCACACATGTTCATTTGAACCATTGCGAACATTAAAAAAATGGATTAGTAGAGTTTTAATCAACCTGAACTAGAGAGGCAGATGTTTTATTTTTTTGTTTTATCAGTTAAATTATATTTTCTGTGAATTGCCTTTCCCAACCTTAAGGTCTAAATGTTTAAAGTTGTCAAATATAAGTATACTGAGCAGCATATTAAACACCCACCATGTGTACTTTTTCAATATTTAGACTGCTCAGCATGTGACTCATGAGTTTGCTCTCACCGGCATCCTCCTACTGATCAGTGTCCCACATCACCATGTTTCACTTCCACAGATCGCAGCCAACCACCACCAAACACTAAAGCATGACATGAAATGTGTGTAGTGTGTTCATGTGTGTGTGTGTGTGCATGTGTGAGCTGATAGAGCAGATGAGCAGCCACAACTAGGTGAATAACAGAAAGAGATAAAAGGAAAAAAAAAGCCAGGTAAGCAGCAAGGGAGACTTTACCTGACGCATCAAAACTGAAAGACATGCTAAGTGGCCGAATTACTGCAACGAGAGACAGTCACGGCATGGGACGGTTATTGGTAAATTAAGGTAAGACTTAACACATACAAGAGGAAGTAATCTGCTTGTATTTAGCAAATAATGCAGGAAAACAGCATGCTTATTGTCTGGTTTCACATCACAAAAGTTTCACCACTTTCATGATGGAAGATAATAGGATTTCAAATAAGCCACAGCCAATGGCAAGAGATTACTGACACTCAAAGACAGTACTGTTTTTAGTGCTGTTAGTGGTAAGAGAATTGCAGACACTTAGCATTATTATTATAGTGTACTTTCACTTTACTGCAAAAGTCAACAAAACAATAATAGGCTTCAGTTGCAACACAAATATGACAGGTTAGAAAGCATCAGCTACAATAGCAAAGAGCAGAGGCACAAATAATAGTGTAGTAAAGTGTAAAAAAAAGAACTGAAACATGGTTCAAAATAGTGAAGCTACTACAAATTTCTGCTCCATACTTCAGCTTAAACGTTACATTTCAGAGTGAAGTATGGTTGCATGTGCAGGAGAGTGTGGGTGTTTGTGTACAACAACGGTCCGAAAATAATAAGAGGACGGATGACAGAGGGGGAGTTTTCTTACCCAGCCTGCCCCGGCGGACCATATCAGGCGACACCGGGCGAAGTTTCCTCTCTGCTTTGATCTCCTCCAGGATCCGCTCGTGCAGAGTGGGAGGAGGCTGCTGCTGTGGCTTCAGCTTACGAGCTGACACCTAGCACAGGTTGATGTATGTCAGAGAGTAAAAGAGGCAGAGAGCAGAAAAAGTGACACAAACAGAGTTATAGCCAGCAGGCACGCTTCTCTTCATCATTACTTGTCTCCTGTGACTAATTGTTCTCGTGATTACTGAGAGGTGAACCCTGCTGAAACAGCTCCCTGCTAATCCTGCTGCAAGATTTATATCAAGAGAGAACTGATGAACGCAGCAATTCACTAAATTCAGCCTGCAGTAGAAGTTGAATCAGACAGCTGCAGCATTCATATTTTGCAGAGGCTGGTTTTACATATAATTTTTATGCTTTTCTTTCTAGTGGGGTAAGGATAACTTTTTTTTTTTGCATGTTCGGAATAGTCTTGTACACATTGTAAGGCTGATATTTAGTTTTTATCAGTCAATAGTAACATTTTTGGCATTCGCATCAAATGAACGTCCAAATTAATCCCAGAGCTAAGAGTCACTGTATATGATACACCTGCAACTACTGCCTTGCTTTAAGGGGGCCATAAGAATACAAAGGCTGGATCGAAACAGTTATTGGTACTGCCATCTGAAGACTTTTCTCTGACAAAAAGTTTTTCTGCTCTTAAACTGAGAGATTTGTTTCTAAACACATATAAACATCAGAAGATAACTGCTGGAAACCCATGAAGACTGTGAATTAGCACTGAATTGTGGAGTTTTTGACTGTAAATTGTTAAGAACAATTGTTGTGCCCGTGTCACTCACATCACGACACCTATTGCAGTCCAGTTTGCTCACTAGCTATGTATTTGCTCAGCATCTTCTCTGGACGCCAGCATTTTCTTAACAGCTTCGTCTCCGTATCTAAATCTCTTTGAATGATGCGACAAAGAGGAGGATTGATTTTGTGATGAGCCTGACTGAGAGTTCAGGAGCACCACCAACACCTGTCTCTGCAGTGTCTATTTTACACCTCGTAGTTTGACAAACTTTAATTGGAAATAACAGTGATTCGTGGATATTCTGCTGTTATTGGTGAATGGGGCTGAACTGACTATCTCCCTCCCTGACCATCGTCAGCAGTACATGCTCATCAAGGAGTGAATTTGCCCTGCAGTGTCAAATTGGGACTTCACATCTAACCTGTTTGGTTCAGTTGAAATTAATTTAGCTTGTGTGGTTCATGTAAGGTGGTGTCAAAGCTGTCAATTAGGGACTTCAGTGGGAACATCCCAAGTATCCAAGAAAAGAGAACAGTGCTTTTTTTCCCACAATTTGAAACAATTCTAACTCAATTTAAATCAGCCTGGGTGGTTATTAACACTGCTTTCTTATATTTCTTACTGCTTTACACAAACTTGAAGTGAGTGTATTTAGCTGTACTCACAGGATTGAGAGGTGGTCTGGATCTGATAAACTCCAGGATGACTTCATGAGCACTTTTCTTTAACCTTGGTGGGATGTCTCCATTGACCTGAAACACAGTAAAAAAAATAAAATAAAATAAAAAAATGCTCACATGAACAGCAAAAAATAGCTTGATTCCTTAATAACTTCATAATCTTGATGTTAATCCCAAAACCTGTCTGTTAAACACAGTTCAAATTAAACACAGTGCTTATCGTAAGTTTTATAAAAGACTAAAATTGTCTGTTGAGGACAACAAAATCCATGAACAAACATATTAGCTACTGCTGTGACTGATGCTTATTTTCATGATGAACTAGTCGCCAGTGCTCACTATAAAGTCTCCAAGCTGACATTTTTAAATGTCATGTTTTATTCAACCAACTGTCTAAAATCTTGGGGTATTCAACTAGCAATGATATTAAACAGTAAAAAGCAGCAAATAGTTGGATTGAATGACTTTAATGACAATGCCTGGATTAGCAAAATAACTGCAGATACATTTTCAGTTGAACTCTGGTAATTATACAGTAATCTGCACTGACCATGACTTTGCGCAGTTTGTATCGCTTGGACCTGATGTCGTCCATGAGCATCTCATAAGGAGTGAGCTGGTACTCGATGGGCAGAGGGTTGTACTGGCGCTCCTGCACCTTCTTTAGCTTGACTCCTTCGCGCAGATCCCTCATCACCTGAACCCAGAATCGAGCCTGACAGAGTAAGCAAAGGGCAGAGTTTCAAATGGGAGCACAATGTGAAAGCAGAAAATGCCACGACATCTTAAATAGGAATCATCATGTAGTTTTGCACAATATCATCTGTAAGGTAACGTCTCCATGCACACAGAACAGGGAGGGTTACATCAAGGGGAGTGGCTCTGTCTGTCTCTCCATGGTTTATCACTGCCTATTTAGAGTAGTACAAGCATTAATACAGATTTCTTTGTGGGAGCATGGATTCCTGGTGAATCTCTGTTAGTACATTTAAAACAGCTCTGATTCATCCCTGTAGTTTAGACTAGTCGCTTAGACTTTGATAAGGAGAAATGATCAGCTGAGACTGTAGGTCAAAGGTCAGAAGTCGGCTACAAACCCAGTCAGCGTTCTGGAGCTCGTTCAGATCTCGGCCAGGCTCCTCTGACGTCTCCGCCTCCATCTTACGGAGGTTCTGGTGGAAAGAGAGAAAGATGTAGAATTATATAGAAAATATGAAAAACTATGTGTTGTATCAAGGAGAAATGTGGCTCAACAGAAGAGATCAAAACACCAGTGTATGGTAATCAGTAAGGTCACAGGTTTGTCTCCAGTTAAGCCTGACAAATGTTTCTTTGACTCTCGAGACACCAAAGCCAATATATTTCAACTTAACAAAACTAAAGAAAGCTGTTCGTGTGCATTGCCAGTCACAATCATCACAAAAAACAACAAAAAAACAAAACTGCATCATCATATGAATCATGGCAGCTAAAAATGAATGTTTAGAATCTGTACAGCAAAGTTGTATAATTATAACTCTGATATTGCTGGCTGATGTATCATATTGGACTACAAGGTAGTCAGTGCTTGTAGACATGTATAAAAGACAACTGGGCAACATTAATTATTTGGATTTGTATTCAACACTGTTTGGATTTAATGGCATGACATTTGACATCATCTAACAAATCTAGCACCATCATTGCGGGGGGCTGGAGCCTATCCCAGCTGACTTAGGGTGAAGGCAGACACCCTGAACAGGTCGCCAGTCTATCACAGGGCTACAACCAAGCACACTCACATTCACACACCTACAGACAATTTAGAATCACCAATTAACCTCAGCATGTTTTTGGAGTGTGGGAGGAAGCCGGAGAACCCAGAGAGAAACCATCCTGCATGGGGAGAACATGCAAACTCCACGCAGAAAGATCCCAGATGTCCTCACGACCTTCGAGCTGCGAGGCGACGGTGCTAACCACTGAGCCGCCTTGCAGCCCTTGATGATGACAAGTGATGAACCAAAAAAAACCCCAAAAAACTCCCAAACAGCAAAACACTGCCTACCCTTAGCTTTCAAAGGGCCTTTTATCTTTACAATTACTCTCGTCTGTACTTAGTATGTCAACAAATGTTTGCATGCTAATATGATAAACGACAATAATCGAAACAGTTACACACTTAACATTAGCATGTTCACATGACAAAAACTTGCATTTTATGCAGTACTTCACCACAACTTTGTCAGTGTGGCTTCCAAATTTCAAATGGGCTCTGTAGCCTCACTAAGCAGCTAGCATGACTGTAAACTTTCAAAGTTACTTTTATTGAGGCCATTTTAATATGTTGCAGGGGAAGAGCGCAGATGTAAATAATAAAACTGATAATGGCTGAATTCCTGCTTACATTGTGGTGTCCTGGTATTGTGCATGCTGGCTAATTATCGCACTGTCACGACTTCCTGGTACACTTTAACATTTTTAGTAAAACCACTGTAGTACCTTTCCCAAAAATGTCAGTAAACATATTCACTGCAAATTTTAAAAAATAAATACAAATAGCCATTAGCCTACTGTATGTTAGTCAATGCTAGCATGCTAAAACGCAACAGAAAGAGTAAACATTACCGGTAGCATGCTAGTATTAGCATTGTGAGCATTTTAGCATAACATCACAAGCTAACCAACTACAATTTTTACATTTGGGTAAAAATGATTAGGTTAACCATGATAACTAATTAAATTTTGTCTTTTATTGTTTTGCTTTGCTACTATATTAAGTACTATGCTACAACCTCACAGAGGTGCTAGCATGTTCTTGATTAATTAGCATAACAAGGAAAACCTTGTCCAACCTTTGTACCTGAGACAGAAGTAAAGCAAAACAAGACATAAACCTCTGGCAGGCAGCTGTAAGTGCAGCTCTTCCATCCTGACACCTGTGTGAACCTGCACAACATGAAGCCATTATAGTGTTGTAATACACTGTCAGCCTGACTGACAGCCAATCTGTGGGAAACAAGGAGCAAACCTGCATTCCTCTGCTGCTTTCCAGACGACAGCGTCATTGTATGTTTGCTTATATTTGTGTGTGAAGCGATAAGGCAGCAAAATGTGACGAAGTGCATTTGGAAACAGTAGGCAGACAGAAAATATGTTCCCTCTGGTTAATATTTGTGGTTGCTCTCGTCACGTCACGGCAGAGGAAAGTTTGATAAGACAATCACGGGAGTCTGCCCAGCTGACTGCAGAGTTAGAACCTCAACCCACCGGGGAAATCACAGTTCACTATCATCCGGCCAGGGAACAGCTGTCTCCACCAACTGCTTACATAATATCACTCACAACATACTGCATTTTGCTGCATCACAGGTCAGCGTATCTACAGTGTATACAGTACTACAGTGTCACAAGGTCATGCTGCAGAGATTAATGGTTTATAACAGCCCATCAAATTAAAACCCTGCTAATCCAGCCAGTGAAGAGCATAAACACAGTATAGTTCAATCACTTCTAAACACTATTATCTCATTTGGATGAGCGACATGGCTCTAGATTGCATCAAAGTCACATATTTCCATTTCAAAAGGTTGATTGAGCATTGTTTATTTACTTATACACCCAGCAATTGTTGTGAATCAGTCGAAAATAAGTAAATAAACAAACTACAATGATTATTTTCATATTACATTTTAAAAGTAAAATATTTGACCTTCCCACAAATGTAAATCCCTGTAAATGTTGGACATTCCAAAAACGACCCAACTTCAACGACTACATTAGTGCTAAATCTAGGCTATGACGGACCGACCAGATTTAGCCCAAAAAACGTCTAAATTACATCAGGTGTTTGGTGGGTTATCTGTTCATTCTGCATTTTCATCAGATCATGACCCTCGTGGACAAAACCAACATTTAGGCTGCTAGACGGCCAAACAAATAACGAAGGCATTTATCAAGTGCCTTTGCAAATCTCAGTAATTCTGCTCTCTGTCTGTTCATTTCATTCATTTTCTCTCCCAGCAGCTGACAAGAAGTACTTATCCATGAGCAAATAGGAGCCAGAGTTGTTTCTGTGAATCAAAACTAATCTCGCTGCTTTTCTGTGAATCTGCAGCAGCAGGAGGCGTCTTTGCGGTGAGACAAAGGAACTCTTTGGCAGCAGTGGCTGGTTGCAGTGGGTGGATAAAGACGCAGCCCTTCTGGGACAGCACAGCTCGAGGCCAGGATGAGGGAAGGAGGGGCTCACACACACATACTGTATGGACACATACACACTCACACACACAGGGACACACAAGTAGAACCTCAGAAAGAACAAGGACAAAGAGACGTGCACAGATCCCCACCCACACACCCTGATCACACGTGTGTGTAAATGCATCCATGTGGACATGAATATGCAATCACAGAAACAATCACACACACTTCAGACAATTCATCTTATTTCTAATGTCATCTCCTCCTTGTGTCTTTTACATTTTTCTCTTATTTTATAAAAAAATGAATACAAATGTAGAAATGTTTTTAAAAATATAAAAACGCATAGGTAAAAGAAAATGGATAAAATGACTGACAGTCTAGAGCCAACAGCTAACAATAGAGCCAACAACATTGGTTAAATGCTGCATTCACGTCATAAAGAGATGGATGGAAAGCTTCCCATGCTTTTGTCTTGTGACTGTTCATGTCTTGATTCCAATTGCCGCTATTCTTGTGCTGTACTGTGTTCCAGCTGTCCTATTACATTGTTCTTGGTCATTGAAAAATTACCTGGAGCTGTTTTGCAGCTCGAAAGAAAGCTTGCACAGTGAGAATCCAGGGAATTCTTTGATTTGCCGGGTTTTATGTATATTTTTACAGGTCCTACCTTTAGTTTTAAATCAGTCAGTTCTATCTCCACAAAAAAATAATACTGTAGGGTCATTGCAATAATATATAAAGTAGTCAGGTCTATCTCCATAATTAACATTACTGTAGGGTCCTGGTCTTCAAATTCATTAAAGTCAGGTAAAGTTGTATTTCATATATTTTGGAAAGGTTTTAAAGATTTTGAACAACAATATTCAAATTAAAGCTGCAAATGGCATTGGACAGGTCCTCGCTTCTTGTGACAGTGCGACTGAGACAGTGTATATGTATGTAATGTGGCCCGTACTGCAATGAGCATTTACAGGCTATTTACCATTCTCTATGAAACAGGAAGTGTCATGTTTCATAGAGAATGCGTATGGTCGTGGCTACGCCCCAAGTGGCGTTGTGAGTGTACGCCCATCACTTCCTGTTTAATGGCAAGCCAAGGCGACATGCGTGGCATGGCGTGCTGGTAACATGCTCTGGCTGGGACTCAGAGCATATGTGTGCAGTTTCAGGAAGATCGGAGTGTGTACAGGTAAGTTACACAGCACGTCCCATTTTATGGTGTTTTATGATGTTTTGGCAAAATTCTACAGGCTGCCATTTTGACGGCGTCAGACTTTTGCATTTTAATAACTTTTAATCACCATGTCCTGTAGTTTGTGCTGGCCAAATTCCAGGTGTGTGCAACGTTCCCCCTAGGAGGAGATAGATTTTGAACATGGCAAAAAATGGACGATTTTCAGCCAAAATCCACAATTTTTTTCAAAATGGCCGACTTCCTGTTGAGCTTCAGGTATGTATTCTTGAGAGGTTTTTGTACGTCTCGGCATGTTAGGTGTGCACCAAATTTCGTGGCTCTACTTGAAAGTGTGTTCGGGGGCCCTTTTTTTAGTAATTTTCTAGGTGGCGCTGTGGAGTCATTTTTCTATTGACGTATGTATTTCCAACTAACTGTAAAAGTTTTTGCCAGGTCTGATATGTATGTGAAGTTTTGTGCGTGTGCGAGTACATTTAGAACCTCAAGAACGCGCTTCTTTCTCACGAAAAATACTAATTTTTTTTTAAAAAACGACCAGTTCCAATAGGGTCTTCGCACCCTTTTGGGTGCTCGGGCCCTAATCACTCAGGCAAATTCACATCATAAATAACACTTTAGGGTCTTAAGCTCAGTATTTAAACGTGTTATTTTATAAGGGGAGTCTTATTTAAAGCATGTTGGCTTTCAATGGCTGTTGCTTTACATGTGCTACATAAATAACAGTGACTTGATTTGACTTGAATTAGTATTCCTGATTTATATACTGCTATGCGATCTATTCCATTTCACTGTTTAATTATCTTGAACAACACCCTTTAGCTAACTTCACACATCTATGTCCATTTGCTTTTGTAGGGATTTCTGTGATTGTTACATCTGGTCAGAGCTTCATAATTCATAAAGTCATAATCAAATACTTGGATGTTGATGGGACTGCTATTTAAAGTGGTAAAGTAATTACTGTAATAAGATGTCAACATGGCAAATATCAACACGCCAACAAGCTCATAACAACAATATTTACAAGGCATTTAGCAGATTTAATGCATATGCATTATTACATAATGTACGGCCAGCATGTTTTAATTTAGCGTGCTAGCATGCTGAAATCTGCCAATTAGGACACAACACAAGGTGCAGCTGGGGCTGAAGGGAAGATCATTAGTTTTGCATACACAAGACTATATTTTATAGTTTATTCGATAGCAAAATTGTATACCACTCTTCAGCATAGACTGCAGCATTGTATAGTCTCCGTTCTTTAAAATATTGCACAAGAAATGTGTGCTACCTGCATATAAAGTGCTATATAATATGGTAAACAGTGATGGTGAGACACTTTAGTTTGCAATTACTTTAATCCCAAACTTTTAAAGCTTCTTTCTCAGCCTTCTCCACCCTGCAACAAGAGTCCTCTCTCCCCTACCAGCGAGTTATGTAAGCAACCAAATCCCATCTATTCATGCAGATGCATTACGCACACTAAAAGGGCAGTGGCAGTAGTGCATAGCAGGAAGGAACCCTGAGGTGGAGCACACATACACAACTCCTCACAGGGAAATGTTCCAACCCACAGCTGAGCTCCAAAATGCTCCTGAGGAGAAACAAAGTCCAAAATGAGTCCTGTTCTTGATCCTAATGAATGGCTAGAAGAATAAAAAAAAAAAGTGCAGCAACAAGACAGGGCATTGTGTTTAGAGGAACAGCCTGAATGTGAACTTAGGGGATATGAGTCCATAATGCACCTGTGATGAAAGAATCAAATTATCAACTTAAAGTCATTTCCCCCGCCAAGACACTTGTCAAGCCTTTTCATCAGGAAAGCACTGCATGATGACTCTGCAAACCTGCTGATCAGAGTTCACTGGGGAACATAATTGGTAATAACCTGCCACCTCCTTTATTGAATATTCACATTTGACTTGTAACAGCTACTATACCCATACTACACTAGAGGAGCCTGAACACTTCGCAGAATGGTCACAGATGCAGCAATCCCTAGAACAGGACCCTCAGGCATGATTATGTTAATCACGTCTGTCTGAATGATTGTCATGAGAACCTGAACTCAGCACTTTTAACAGAATGAGAGTCAGCATGTCTGCGAATATTGTCATCTATGTCTGACATGCACAACAAACATGTCACTTTCTCCACAGTGGCTCATTTCGACCTGTCAGCCAACAGGGCATGAGAGCCTAGGATGTCATCCTAACACTGCATGGCTTCCTCAAAATGTGAAGATATTACAACACTGATGACGAACACCGGGCCCGTTTGCACCAAAGCTGATGATGGCTGGTATTTTGGTTCCTATAATCACAATTTTCTTCAAGCTTCACCACTGACATGCTGAAAACGTGGACATGCCAGGTTGGAAAATCCTCTTAAACGGCATCCACATCATCATGTGAGCATGAAATATTGAGATTTTTACATGGCAAAACCCTTGGATTTACATTTCCTTTAAATATCACGTTGGTACAGTTAGACAGAAGCTTATGCTATATTATATTAGACCATATTGGCTAAACTATACTCAACATTTAATAGCATTTGCCTGATTTATTGTTTCATAGACAAAACTTTACTCACATAGATAAACCTAATATTAAATCAGATTGTAAGGGACCATGCAAAAATTACTATGGTGGAGAAAAGGGTCGAACGTTAAATTTCACTTTAAAAGAATGTGTCTATAAACTCACTTTTTAACCAAGAAAAAAACACAGCATCGTCCATGCAAGATGTCAGAAGATACCTGTAATATCAGTTTAAATTGCACAGTCAGGTACTCAAGTTTAAACCATAATATCTTGAAAGTCCAGTGTGTAGGATATAGGAGGATCAAACAGAAATGGAATCGAAAACTTAGAATTATGTTTTTCATTAATGTACAATCACCTTAAAATAAGAATCACTGTTTATATTACCTTAGATTTTTTTATACTATCTTTTTTAACGCAATTTTCATACAATCCCTATATGCACTATATAGACAGTAACATTTTATTTTATTTTTTTAACAAAATCACATTAAAATACATTTTGAACATGACTTAAACAGCTGTTGTATGTATTTGGCTGCTATTTACATACATTTAATAAGTATGTTATACTTATGGTAAGTTATTACTTACAAGTAAAAGACCAAAGAAATCCCTTTACTTGTTGCTTATTCCATTTAGGATTTATTTATATGATGTCTCCTAATCTTTCAAATTAAGAGGAATTTAAAGCTTTGGGTGTATTTTAAGGGTTGCAATCTTTGGATTTGTTGACAAGATTTTAGGTTTTTAGGTGTAAAAGTGAGTTTATAAAACATGCTATAATCAATTAACTATGCTTTAAGATGAAGAGAATAAACTGCCAGTGAAAGCTGTGTTTTATTGGATGTTATGTCATAGCATGAGTAATAAAGGATGTGCGCTCATGTGTACATTCCATTCATTTCTTTATCCATAGCCATTACCACGGATGCCTCTCTGTATCAGCTGACTGCCTCTGCTCTGTTACACAGGAAACAAAGACGAGCGCTGTCGTCATTCCTCTGTGTGTCCATTTCATGCATATTACATGCTGCAGTATAGCATAAGTGACGGCTCATTACTGAGGCAGTAAAGATGACTTATTGAGATATAGCTGTTATGATCAAACGGTTGTTTTCTTTGTCAATCACTTAAATAACACTGTACCGACTGTTTTGGCTTCAGTTAACAGAACTGGAATGTTGTTATGGCACTGGAAATCACATGTGTTTAACAAAATAGAAATAGCATGAACATTTACATAACTTATATTACACATGCAGTGTTTTGGATCGTAGCCCCTCATAATCATGTGTCCTATTATATAACAATGTTATATTGAAGATTTTTTTTTTTTTTTACAAGAGGTATCAGCTGTTCTACAATGCTAACATCGCCCCTGGCAACACTAACAGTGGTACCCACACAGAGGGAAAGTCATGCTGGTTTGCGGGTGCACAGGGCATGTAAGGTCACAGTGCCAAATCTCCTGAAGTGATGTCTCACTTTGTCTTTTATGGGCATCGTAAAGGTCAGCGATCATCCTATAAGCTTTAATTAGGAAGTTTAGGCTTTGTTTTTGAACAACACTAACAATACAAAAGAGAGTGTGCATTAACCAAAACCACAAAATAATTCCCTATTTCAGCTTTAAAATGCATAATAAAATACATGTCTGGTGGCTTAAACTGCAACAAATGTCTTTGAGGAAGGAGTTTCATGAGCTCACAGGCTATGCAACACATTCATAATGATGATGATGATGATGATGATGATGATGATGATGATGATGATAAGGACCCACCTCTTTGGCACTCTTGATCTTATCCAGGAAAGTGCGTAGCTCCCTGGTTTCTGTGTACAGAGCCCGGCACACTGCCTGGTAGTGACTGGGGGCATCTGACAGACTGGGTAGATGAGCTGTACACAGCTACAATGGAGAAAGTAAAGCATTTTCAGTACATAGTTCACACAAGTGCATTTGTTATAAAGATGACACAAAACCTGAAAAAAATAAAAATGTGAACAATTTAAAGTAATGCACTCACTTAATGAAGTGTCAGGAATTGTACAATGTTGTTAAAGGCGTGAAGAAGCTGATCATATTAGGTTTCAGTCATGTATTCTATGATGTAGCACTTAAACAATGAGTAATTAACAGCATAGCATTTGTTTAGACAACCTTTAATCAGTCTAGTAGAAGCTAGAATGACAAGACACGGCATGACACAGAATTCATTTGCATATTTTGATAGCTTTTTTTGGTAGCTCCGCAAAACAGCACAACAGTTTCAGGTGACATATCTGTCTATATCTAGGTCATAAAGCACAAGGCAGTCAAATGAAACCAACTGAAGCTTTGCAACAAGCAAAATACCTGAAAAACATCTGTAAACAACTGTTGCTGCTAAACACAGGTCACAATACATCTCTCACTGAGGTCAGCCACATTGCAGCTACACACACACACACACACACACACACACCCCAACAGCGACGACAGAGCATGTCCTTGTTTCTCTCAGAGGAACAGAAGGTACCTTTGGTCAATGCTCAGCATGCTCTTGGCATCCGTTTGCCCAGACTGCAAAAATGTTTCTAACCACAAATAAAACCAGACAACTGTCTCCCTGTGAATTTAATCCTGCTCACATCGCGCTCCAAGTGAACATGTTGGATTCAGTTAAATGATATTGAATTTGTTATTTTAATATAAAAATGCAAACAGTTATGTTTCCTGCATAAATGTGGCTCTGTGGCTAAAAGCAGCCAACGGTGATAGTAAGGGTCAGTGCTGTAGGACAAAAGGTAGATGGAGCAGCACACTAGGCCAGCCAGACCACTAAACTGCTCCAATACATCTCCTTGGAGAGCAGTGTGTGTGTGTTTGTGTATTTGTGTGTATTTGTGTGTCTGTGTGAGGCCATATGAGGACTGACACAGTGACTCTCTGCTCCGTTGGTCAACAGAGATGCATGATTCCCAGCATGGATGAGCCTGGCAGCCTGGCTGCACAGTGGCTGTAATCTCTGTGTTCAGACCCATGTTTTACATTTTCAATTCCCCCCCTACACACATCTTATCCTGAACAGTTATCCCTCAGATTTTTCTGTTCCTAGAATCCCTTCATATATTATGGCTCCTCAAAAACTGTCATTTACATATTTTTTAATTGAGAACATAATTAACAAAATGAACATCATGCTGTATTAAAAAAGTCTTAAAACTAGTAATTGAGACCATAAAGTTATCAGGAAAATGTTGACTGAGATAATGGATCATGGAAGAAGTGAGGTCATTTCCTCATGGACTTATATACAATCAGACTTCTTTGTGCACCAGAGGAGTCGTCCCCTGCTGGCCATTACAAAGAAGGCAGGTACTTGTCTGATTTTTATATACAGTCTTTGTTTTCACATTTCCACCAATTCCAAACCACCAATATCTGAACAAACACAAAAAACAGCAATCACTTGTCAAAGCCACTTACCTTGAGGATATCTCTGTAGCCGTGAGCGCTGGAGATGTTATCATCCTCTGCCTCATCTTCTTCCTCTGTGGCCTCGTAGCCTTCGTCGGGGCAGGCGTCCTTCTCGGCCATGTTGGTCATGAGGTCAATGAGCTGCTCCAGGGGAGGGCTGAGCTCTCGCTCTTCATTTTCCTTCAGCCCGTAGTCCAAAGCCTTGTAAATCATGATGCCGAGAGACTCGATTACCTGCAAGAGCACAGACGACAACCAAAACATGAAAAACCTACAGTGTACACATGTGGTACACACTGCAAGTGAAATCAGTCTAAAGAATCAGTATCTGATGATTAGAAATGTATTATAAAGAAATTATAAATGTGTCCTATTATTATTATTATTTGCAATACGATTATTAAGTGTAGCGGACACCACTTGACTTTCTCTGGAGTGCCAAGCAAGGGGACACACCAGGTAACAAGCACTGTTTTTGTATAAGTTCTGGATCTACTCCCATCATAAAACTGCCACCTTGGACACTATACAGAACGGGAAAACCCAGAAAGAACCACTATAAATGTCACAAAAGGAGCCTGTTGTGATCAACTTCGCTGTTCATACTCCACTGGAAAAATGGTGATGCATGAATTTTCTTACAGCATGGACCCTCATACCTCTTGCAGAGGCATGAAACAACAAGTGGAACATTAACACTTTGGAAATAACAACTTCAAAGTCACAGTGACTCTCATTGAAGTGTGAACAGTCCTGTTTTTTCTTTCTATGGATACTCTCCCCCACTCTTACCAACTGTGATTCCAGTACGCAGGGGGAAGAGGAAAAGCTGATGAGGAATGTCATAAAACTTGGGCTGCATACCAGTTCTACATTTAGACACTTTTACATTTATACGTATACAGGCTAAATAAATTTTTTCAGTCTCTGTTTGGTGTGTTTACAACCCCATTGATCTCAATAAGAAGTCTTTGTACAACCTGTCCAAGAATCACATCTGTAGGTGGTATGAGGACCAAGATAACATCCATCCATCCACTATCTATACACCACTTAATCCTCACTAGGGTCGCGGGGGGCTGGAGTCTATCCCAGCCGACTTAGGGCGAAGGCAGGGGACAGTCTATGGCAGGGCCACACTTAGAGACAGACAACCAAGCACACTCACATTCACACCTATGGACAATTTAGAATCACCAATTAACTTCAACATGTTTTTGGACTTGTGGGAGGAAGCCGGAGAACCCGGAGAGAACCCACGCTACACGGGGAGAACAAACTCCACGCAGAAAGATTCCGGTGACGCGAACCGGCAACCTTCTTGCTGCAACAGGCAACAGTGCTTACCAACTGCGCCACCCTGCAGCCCCCAAGATAACATTTTACAAAAATATTCACGCTACCGTCACAGACCCACAGTGCCATCTAGCAACAGTACATGGTCCGGTGAGGTTGGGACTACATCACTATTAAAAATGTTACTGTTGATTAAATGTATAGGTACACCCCATGTGTTATATGCTGACATACATTCCTCATATCTAACATTTAACATCACATTTTTATTTGTGTTGCATAGATTAGGCTATTTCTTATGCAGTATATGTATGTCACTGTTCTTTCACTTCATGTTCATGGGTCATGGTCAGAGATGGATTTATTGCGTTTGCGTATAGAGTGCATTTTCTTTCTTTTCTTTTTTTTTAAGGTTTTTTTTTTGGCATTTTTGCCTTTATTTGACAAGACAGTGGAGAGAGAGACAGGAAAGTGGAGAATAGGACCTGCAGCAAATAGCCATGGGCTGGATTCGAAACCACGACCGCTGTGTCGGGGACTATAGCCCCAGTACATGAGTCGCCAGCTCAACCAGTTGAGCTATAGCCCCAATAGTGCATTTTCTTAGATTAAAAAACTCAACCTTCTCTCCTCTTCCCAATAAAGAGAGGAGGGTTAAGTTACCAAATGTAGCAGCAAAATCCTCTCCACGCTTTCAATACACACCCCCCAAACTGTAGAGGATTAAAGTAGGAAACTGCTTTTGTTCTTCCTCTTGCTTTTTCTTTGTCTTGTCTTCACTCTAGTTTCATTTTTGTTTCTTACGCTCTCATTCTGTTTCTTTGTCCGCGCTTTTCTTTTGTCTTTATGTATCTTCATTTTTGCAGTTCTTCCTTTTGTTTTAAAGATAGTACTCTTTTTCATTGAAAATTCTAATATACACACTTAATTCTGTCAAACCAAACCGACAGGAATCAGCAGAAATTAGTTTCTTGGACAGATCAATTACACCATGCCTTCGCTCTCAGTTTCCAAAATCCTGTTTTCGGCTAATACCAAATGTGGCTGAAAGCATAACGAGAGCCACTGTTAATCATAAAATCATTTTTTCATCAACTCTGAGAAGCGCGCACACTACACACGGGACGCTGGCTGCCTATTGACAAAACCACCCCTGTGTGCCAACGGTGGAAGCCGCTGACGGCCTCCAACACTGCGCCTCTGAGCTCCACAGCAGAACTCGTTGCCAGGCAACCTCACAACGCTTCAGGAGAAAACCGCCTGGATCCGTCGTAAAGGAGGGCCTATTCATCAACAACTGTTCCAGCCAAAGGACACTCCATCCCCGTCAGCACTGCACAAAGTAGGCAAAGCCAGCCTTTCTATCTGCTCCTGATCGGGTTGATGTTGTAACCATTTGACAGTTCACAAGCGTATCAATCATGAACCAAATTATTAATCACTACCATTAGATCGTTTATTGACCATCCTCCTCTCACCATAATCCTCAATGTTTGACTGGGTAATCTGATAATACAGCCACTACACACACTCTGATTTTCATTGTTTAAAGTTCCCGTGTATTATAATAGTAGAATAGTTAATAAATCTTTCTTATTTAGACCAATTCATGGTTTTGTGTCTTTCTTTGTGTGGGAACTGAGGCCAATTTAATCAGAGCTTATGGCTTTCAGAAAACAGACAAATAAACATGATTTCAAATAAAGCCTCTTTGAGATTTCATGTGTGCAACAGAACTACAAAGCAAATTCTAACATACGCTACATAAGAATGTATCTGTTGTCTAGCTTTGTATATTGTTCTGCTGTTCATCTGCCACATGATAAAAAAAATATGGATGTACGCCCCTTTGTTATGCAACATGATCCTCTTTTGTGTGTCAAGCCTAAGCTGAATATCTGTAATATCGTGACTTTGTGACTCCATTCATACAAACCCACTGGCTGGCCTTTGACAGGCTGACCATGGGAGCAGATTACTGTTGATCTTGTGATCAACTGACGTATGAAGACTATCATCACATCATACATGTTCTCGAGTAAATCAGTCTGTAAGAGATTAAAGAGATTTGCCATTTGTTTGACTTTGAAAATAACAACTTAAAAATCACATGCCACAAGTTTTTAGTTTTAGAAACTTAGACTTGAGATGTAGCAGCAGATTAAAAATAAATATTTTTTTTTTTTAAATGGAATTTTAGCACCTGAAATCACTTCTGGGCTGTCAATTTGTATCCTTAGCACGCTCGAAAAACTTCACCTGGTAACGTGAATGACATTGATAATCACATCACATTTCGATGTTCTGCTGGTCAGCCTTGGGTCCTGGAATCCGTGTGAATGCGACTTTGACATGTACCACCCTCATGATCATTGTTCCAGACCACCCTCCTCCCTCTGCAAGACAATATGCGTGGCCACACCACAAAAACTGTTGTCGGGGAACACCACAAAGAGCTCAAGACCATGACCTAGCCTACAGACTTCCTAGATCCCAATCTGGTGAAGTACCTGTGGGAGGAGCTGCAACCATAGACTGTATAAAAGATGGACGTAGCAACCGGCCCTGAAAAATGAAGCCAACCCGGAAGTGTCAAAAACCTGCAATATCACTACGTCTGCTAACTGCTGGCTCCAAAAAGCCCTGGGGCCTCATTTATCATCAGTGCGTAGAAAAGGTTCTAAATTCTGTCGTACGAATGAAATTTAGAGTGTGCGTAAGTACAAAAAAATGCGTATTTATCAAATGTGCGTACGGGGGTCGTACGCACATCAGTGTTGATAAATCCTACTTGTTCTTAACCTCCGTGCTCGTGCACGTTGCAATCAACGTACTGATCATTTGCGATGCACATTTGTCGCTATCCAACGTTGTTGCCCGGTGGCTTGGAGGAACTCATTCATTAAGCAGAACAGCTTTGTGGATCTCCAAGCAGGAGCTGTTGATGACGGCTGGCCTGTTGGTGGGTGTCACAGAGTGTGGAAATGTTTCAGCTGGACTTTGTTTGGTTATTAAAACATGTCATCTATAGTGATCAGGGTTATCCACTGGGTAAACGTTCAGTATTAATTCGTCCTCCTCCAGTTGCAGCCATTTCTCTTTTATGGACTGTGATGCGTTTTTTGGCACTGAGCTTAACATCAAGCCACATTTTAAAATTTTTGCCGGCGATCTCTCCTCTGACCCAACAGGAATAACTGTGGTGGTTGTCTTGTCCTATGCAGCATTTTTTCTTTCGCTGCTTATCTCAACATTAATGCACCAAACAATATTCTCTAGTTTGCTTCAACCTCCCTGACAAGTACCTCGATCTCAGTTTCATAAAAGTTCCTCTTTTTCGCTCTTTTTGCCACGCTGATGACGACAGGTGAGGAAAAAATAAATCTTCACTTGCTTCATAAAGAGGCATGTTGTTGCCCTATATGGTGATTTGGAGGCGTTCCTGAAGGCAACGTGCACGAGCATGGAGGTTAAGAACAAGTGGGATTTATCAACACTGATGTGCGTACGACCCCCATACGCACGTGTGATAAATACAGATTTTTTTGTACTTACGCACACTCTAAATTTCATTCGTAGGACAGAATTTAGAACCTTTTCTACGCACTGATGATAAATGAGGCCCCTGGCTCCCATAGACTTGAATTGGAAAAGAAGTGATCACAGATCACGAAATACTACATTCCTACAGCTCAAGATTTTTTTCTTATTAGTTTTCATAGTCAAATTCAGAGATCAGGTGACCAATCTGAAAATAAATCAATACTGAATTTTTAAAAAATCGTCAACATTTTGTGGGGCAAGGGGCGTGGCTGGCTTGATTGACAGTCGGCAGCAACGATGCAGACGAAGCAAGCAGAAGGCGGTAAATGTGGGTGGGCAGAGAGGGCCCGCCTCTCAATCCGTCTGAACAATCGCTGCTCCTATGGCTCCGCCCC